CTTTTGCAGGTAGACAGAGCAGGTGAGCCAGACTGTGTGGAAGGGCATTAACAGAACCCTGTGCTCTAGGTTGTGAGGGTAGCATCAGAGAGGGTGTTAAATCCCCTTCCCCTCCAATGTGAATCTTTTATGACCTGGACAATTTACATACTCACGGATTTTGCCCTCACTACTTCAGAAGTGAGCCCCATAACCTGCAGCTACATTATGCTAAAGCAAGGTATTGAGTACAACAATCTCAGACTGAGTCTTCTTACCACACCAGATATTGAGTGTTCTATTTTCATGGTCAAAAGCCAGAGGAATCAATTCACTAACCAAAGCTCCAAGGTGAGTCGTCATCTCCCCAAATATAATTTGTGGGGCTTTTGTTTTGAAACAGGTTATACTCAAACTTAAAACAAGGATGTGTAAAGCAAGGATGGCCCCTGCCTGTACATCCCAAGTGCTGGAATTTTTTTGTTTTGTTTGAAATGGGGGTCTTGTTGATTGCCTAGGCTGATCTGGAACTTCTGGACTCAAATGATCCTCCCACCTCTGTCCTGGGTAGGTAGCCACTACACTTGGCTCCTTTGTAATTTAAATGGTTACTTCAATCCACCCACTTTCACTTTATAGAAAATACAGTGAGTTTAAATGAAAAGTGAATATGCACATGTCCCTGCTTTGTTCACTTATGAGGTGTAACTACAAATTGAATTTTTGTTGTTTTTTTGAGACAGGGTCTGGAACTTGTTATATAGACCAGGATCTACCTGCCTCTGCCTCAAGGCATATGTCACCACACCCAGCCTGATTTCATTTTTTAAAAAATGCTAAAGATGGGTATTTGCTGGTCTCCAATATACCAGTGTGCAGACAGGCAGACACCCATTTAACTCTTACTACCCCAGCTCTTAGACTTCTCTGGTGTCTCTCTAAACTACTCCTATTGGTGCCCCAGAGCCTGACTTTCCTGCTACATGTCAATGGACATGTGTGCGATACAGGACCAAATGATCCTGAGCAACATTTGTTGAACAACAAATAATATCTCAAAAGAAATTTCCCCATGAAGCTCTAATTTTCAAAGAGGAATAAATGCTATCCAAAGATTTCCTGGTTAGCAGGAATATTAACTCTGTAATTCAGGAAAAAGTGCAATTCACCAGCCTCTCACAATCTACTCATATGGCATTCTAATTGTATGGAAGCTGTTCCCTGTTCTTTCCTGCCCAATGAACTGCAGCGCAAGCTTCAAGCCCACCTGGCCTTCCCATCATCTCCACTGTGCTTTCACTTTGCTTGTGTGTGCTGTTTTACCCACCGACACTTTTCAGACTGTCAGATCACACAGCCATGTCTCTTCCTATCTCTGAGTATGAGCTTCCTGAAGGCAGAACTAGTCTTGATTCACTTCTGAATCCAATAGATTTAGCACACAACAAATGTAAATTTAACTGAATTTTAACTTACAAATTTGAAAATGCTCCATAAATTTACTGACCATGGGAGAAAATATTAAGAAAATAAATGGAAAAGGCAAACTTAAAATTACATTATTCACTGTAAGTGCAAGAAGGCTCTTATATAAAAACACTTAACGGTTACTACTGTTCATGTTCAGGGAGAACCAGAGAGGTATCTTAAAGCAGAAGAGATTGTGACTGAGCATAAGATTCTTAGTTAAATTAGTTAAATAAGATTATTAGTTAAATGGGGGTAGGGGGTGGTGCTCACCTTTAAATCCAGCACAAGGGACGCAGAGAGGCAGGTGGATCTCTGAGCTCTAGGCCAGCCTAGAATGGTCTACAGAATGAGTTTCAGGACAGCCAGGGCATAGAGAGAAACCTTGCCTTGAAAAACAAACAAACAAAAAATAAAAAAAGATTGTTACTTCAAGACACAGTTCAAGAAAAAATTGCACGCAGAGCTGAAAAATGTTTGGGAGCAAACACTGCTCTGCACCTTTAGGTGTGGATGATTCGAAGGCTCACAGAGAACAAAAGACAAGATGCTGCTTATGCCATGTCTTCTTAGTAACTTTTAAAAAAGTATCTAAGTCCAGAAGGGATAGAAGTGACTCTATCCAGAAGTGACTCTTTGAGGCCCCACCAGAAAGAGTTTGGAAGAATGTACTCTAGCCAAAAGCCTTTCTTACTATTAAGTTGGCATAAATGAAGTTAAAGACAGATTAATACCTGTTCAATTTTTCACAACCACTTAAAATTGTCACATCACAAATCTACTATGAATTTATTTGCCAAAAAGAAAGAAAAGCACACATATATTCATTCAAAATAGTTTTATAACCATCAAAATTGATGGGAGTTATTTTAATAGGTATTCTAGTGCATATTTCTCCTTAAGTGTACTTGGTCTTCAATGCACGAATTTTTAAATTAAGAGGAAAAACAGCAAGCAGGAAGGATACAATGCCAAAGCATCTCATATTTGTTCCAAACAAGCAACTTGTTTGTTTGTTTTTTTTTTTAAAGCAAAATACATAAAGCAAAGTGCATTACTTCCAAGGAGAGAGCATTGGAGAGAGACCTAAGGACAGAGCTGAAACCAGCCTGAGTCCCATCCTGGCAGACCTGATTGTCACTGTCACTAGAGATAATTCAACTAAAAGAAGAGGAGGGAGGTGAGAGGAAAAACAAATGAGCACTTAAAGTCTCAAAAGAAACATTCAAACTATCTTCCCCAAAGTCTGACAAAGGGACTAGAGACTGACTGCTTCACCTTAGCCTAAGCTTTGTAAACTTCTGATTACTCCACTAATCATCTGCTCTGTGATTTGAGTTGTCCTTAACTTTCAGCATTCTGTGACCACGTCTATTCTGCCAAGCTAGACATAGTTAGACAGAATAAACCATACAGGAACTCTTCGGCCTGAGTCTCCACACACAGTCCCTCTCACAAGCATTAGCAATGGTGACACTGTCTCACTGTCAGCAGCTCCCTCCCTCCTCTCCATGGTTCAGCTCTGCATTTTACTGCTGGTAGTGACAACTGTCTGGTGAGTTACTTGTCTCCCTTTCACAACACTTCATTGTGGTAGGCCATAATACCATACCAGATTAGTCAGAAAACGCTGTAAGAGAGTTTTAGACCTACTTTCCTATCCACTACCTCTCCTACAAACTTTCACTCCCGTGTTTGCAGGTTCTTGTGAAATTTTGACTTCTTAAACACAGCAGCAAGAAAATCAATATGCACTGAATTTAATACCCACTACACCTTTATGTCTCATTCTGAAGGCTGCTCCCAGAGCAAAATTACCTGTGTGGCTGAAGACAAGCACTGAGGAAAACAACCCCCAAGTGAGTGGACCTGGAGCCAGATCCATTTGGGCTAGACTTCGGGTTTAGAATTCTTATGACAAAACTCTAGGTTAATAGGTAGATTATTAGAATAAATTCAAATTCCCCAAGTATATACATTCTTATACAAAGAAATCATCAAAATTCATGAATAAAACATTTAAAATGGGTAAAGCCAATGCTAGGAAAGTGACTGTTATTTCTTGGTTGCACAGGAGACTCTGTCCTTACAGAGTTTCTAAGCCAACACCATGGCCCCAAGATACAGCAACTTACAAAGGTCCAAAGACCAGAGACATCCAAATTTACAAAAGGAGTATCTTGTTAGCTCAAGTTTTCTAGTTCACTTCTGTTAGTGATTTGCCTTCTTCACTTCAAAAGATCAACATATGTCCTATTGATAAAACAGATCACTTAGGGACTTGTATGAATTTGCACACACATGAAGTATATCCAGGAAGTAAGATACATTCAAACTCAACGTGTGTTTCCACAGTCAAAACTCTCCCAGCACTTGTGACAATCAATGAAACTGGAAAAGAATCTCTTCGATGTAAGTTTTTGATGAGATGTACCAAGTAAGAATAAGTATCAGTGATAGTTTCTACAATGATTTTGCATTCTGTTACCTTCTGTTTAGATCCATTCCCTGATGTTCTGTGTCTCTTGGAAACAATGCTGGCTTGAGAGGGGTGTGTGTATATGAGTCCCATCTGCCTTAAGGTGTATTTAGGCATCACAATAATAACTAAAGTGGTTCTAGAGAGCATGTAAAATGTACTCAAGTCTTCAAGTCATCAGGAAGCTTTGGTCCAATGCCCTTTCCCTCAGAGTGAAAATAATTTTACTTCTAGGAGAAAAGATTTACAAAGGTCAAAGTCTGAAGTGGTTTTCTATGCCTGACTCTATCATAATTCAATAAATAAGTACCATGATCATCATTTCCAGAGGTTGACTAGTACCCTTCCTGGACCCATATTATAAACACAGGGAGCCAAGTACATTACTAAAGAAAGGCTAAAGATAGAATTCAAAGGCTACATTAATGCATCCCTATATTTGAAAAGGATGAAGATGGCTAACAAAGGAAAATAGCAGTCACAAGAAATACACAAAATATAGTCAAAACATCAGGGTCCCTCTGCACAGGTCAAGGTTTCCCTATAAGACCAACATAGCTGTAAAGTCTAGCTTAAGTCAGTTAACTTTTCATGTCTACAAGGATAACAGAGTTCATTCATGTGTTTCTAAGTTTGTCAACTCAGGTTAAAGATGGGTCACAAAAACTTGACTGCAGACAAGCTTCGAGAACAACTGCAGGGGAACTCCAGACAACATACCTCTAATAAATTTCTGAGGCTGGCTTTCTCAGAAACAGAACCTACACAGATGTGCAACATATAAACCTCTTACCCCAATAATGAAAACTATTACTAAGCTTAAAACATCTCATCATCATCATAATTCCACCATCACTGCTAACACATGCTAATCCCAGCATGTGTTAAGATAAATGGGAGGGGAGGAGCAAAACAAAACAGGGTCTTATATAGTACAGGCTAGCCCAGAATTCACTATGTAGCTGAGGATGATCTTGAACTTCTGATCCTCATTTCCACTTCCCAAGTGCTGGGATTAGAGGTGTGTTTCACTATGCTCAATTTGGGATTAGAATTTTATACTTAAAGTCCTCTACAAAATTCTCATACAATTATCCTCTTATGTGTGACACCTGGGAGGAGGGATGGGGGTGTATAATTCTTCTTTAATGTGACCACTGAGTATACCGTCTCCCAATAAGAGTGTAAGGAATTTTTATGGACACCCTCCTCACTTGTCTAATTTATGACTGGCCTTTCTATAGGAGAAAGGAGAGACTGAATAATTATGTACAGTTAGACAAGACTGTTGTGTTCAAACCTTCCCTACCTCAGGGCTACTTAGGTGTGCTTCAATTTCAGGTCCAATACCTATCATCTCTGATAGGTTCTACATTCTGTGATCTTTGAGGTCAAGAAGAGAGACATAATGACACAATCATTGCTGTCACCCTTCCTTTTACTAAGCCAACAATGTGAGATCCTACAGGCATAGGTATTATGTCCTCATGAGACCCCTTCTGTATTAGTGACTTGACTGCCAAGGTCTCGGGAAATTCTATGAAGATAGCCACTCCAAATGAGCCTGTCAATACTAGCAGTTTCCTAGTGTCAAATATGCTTCTCTCCCAGGGGCATGAAACACTCAAGCTTTTAAAAGCTAATCTCTAAGTAAGCTTAGATAATGAGCTGTTACTTAGATGAAGCTCCTTTCAGACACACCTGCTGGTGACTACTCAAAGAGTTGCTGTTTTACGACTTGGTTGGAGGGCTTGAGTTAAAGAGGTTCAAGAGTTATCCAATGAAGAACAGGATCCAGACTACAGACTTTCCAAGTGTCCATAAAAACAAGTGGAGGTTGAGGTGAGAAAAGAAAAAAAAAATCACAATTTAAATTTGTAATAATATTACCTTATATTTGTATAATTGTTAAGAATGTACTCAGTTTGCAGTTTTAAAACATTTTCAATTCTTGAGAAAAAATGCTTAGGGTATAAATCTGTAGGGATTAGGGCAACCCTAAAATAAATAAATAAATAATCAACAAGGAAAACATTTAAAGGAGGCAACCTGTGTATGGATGTCTTTCCTTACCCATGGCTACAATATAGCAAGTGCTATTTTTCTATAATAGCTAACAATGTCATTGTAAGTGAAAATTCACCTGGAGTTTCATGTCAACTTGAGTTTAATTGGAAAAAAAATCAAAAGAATAAGCTACTGAATGGGAATCTTCAGACTGTAAATTACATTCAATTTAAATTGGTTTAACTGAAGACAGGCATAAACATGGCTAGACAAAGGTTTCCAGACTCCTTAACCACCTCTCAACTACCTCTCTCATCGAAGTACCAACCAGCTCTGACTGGCTTTCCAGATGAGACAAGATCTGGGACATTTGGGGTGGCATGGTCATAATCTCCACAGCTACTTCTCAATACTTATCACCAAGGACACTACTACGAAACTCCACACTTTGTGCCATCCCCAAAGCCACATTTTCTCTGCTGTGCTTCTACCCGGACACATCTAGAAAACTGGGAAAATGGGCTTCACAGTGGACCCAAAGAACACATACTGATTTTCACTGAGAGTAGAGACTCCAGAAATGAAACAGAGGTAGTCAAACAACTCTAGAGAAAAATAAACATAAAACAAAAGCCAATCATGTATGTTTCGAAACAAATAGAGAGTAATTAAACTGAAATACCATACATTGGTCTTTGTGAGGCCACTTTAAAAAGGTGGCCAAAACTGGGTCAAGATGAAGGACAAACAGTAGAATTCTTAGGACAAATTTGTTAAGGGACTGGTGTAAGTGCCAACATGATATCTTTAAGAAAGCAGGCAGGGCCTTCTCTAACATCTGTCATAGTTTTAGCATTCAGTTTAAAAATGGCATCATACAAAAATGTCACTCATGGCTATAAGCGCAGTCATCAACAGAGGTAGTAAACAAAGAAACTCCTAAGAATAGATTTTTAAAATGGATCAAGTGTGACTATACATTCAAAACCCTAGAGCCACATAATTATCCCCAAAATGAACTGCTTTAATTTAAAAAAAAAAAAAAAAAGCTTAAAAACACAATGACAATGAAGCACTGATGTGCTTTAGGCACAGTCCCAAATCAGTGCTGACTTAAAGCTGTGTCCTCTCTTTTCAAGAAAGAGAAAGCAGAGAACAAAGTTCAATCTACAGTGGGAAGGAACAGAATGAAAATAACCAAATTGGTGTTGTCCAGCTGTCCAGATCATTCTTTGTTTTCCCATTAACAGGAATTCAGATTTTTAAGGTTTTTCTCCTCACAACTTTTTTTTTTTTTAAACTGAAATCTCCTGAATAGAAGTCCGTATTTCACTGTAGGAGAGCCATTTTTGTGCTGTTTTTGCTTCCTCAGTATGGGTCCTCCTTCCTGAAAGTGCAAAGAAAGCAAGCCAACATTTGCAAGGCTGACAGCCCCCAGGACCACAGCAACCACTTGTAGAGCAGGGCAAAGGGTTTGCTGCACTGTGCTTCAAAGACCCAGCTCACTCTGCTTGTCCTTCTCAGTTGGCAAACTGCTCATAAAAAGCAAACTTGATCCTCTCTATGTGATGGCAAAGCTTGATAGCAGGGCCCAACTTTAAGTCCATGCACTCTTGAACAGTGGGAAGGGTAAGGAGCAAAAGGGCCTGCCCATCGATTTCCTGTTGAGGATAAAGAACACAGCGTCTGTGATGTGCACACAAATGCAGCTCCCTCATGACAGTTCTTCTTGCACTGACTATCACAACAACAGTTCTCTGCTTCCCTGTATTAGTTTCCCATTTAAAACTTGCCAGAGTCAGCCAGGTGGTGGTGGCGCATGCCTTTATTCCCAGCACTTGGGAGGCAGAGGCAGGCAGATCTCTGTGAGTTCGAGACCAGCCTGGTCTACAAGAGCTAGTTCCAGGACAGCCTCCAAAACCACAGAGAAACCCTGTCTTGAAAAACCAAAAACAAACAAACAAACAAACAAACAAACAAAAAAACACAAACTTGCCAGAGTCAGTCACCCTGAGAAGCTTTCAGAGTTAATAATACATTTTTTCCAGCCTTGAGACTCTAATCTACAGATTCTGTACAACAGAAATTCAGTATCTGTAAAACCCTGTAAAACAATTAATTGTGAAAAGGAGACATACTTTTAAAGAACTTTTCCTTTTCTTCTTTCATTTTTCAAGACAGGGTTTCTCTGTGTAGCAGCCCTGGCAACTCTTTTATACACCAGGCTGGCCTTGAACTCAAGAGATCCATCTGTCTCTGTCTCCTGAGTGCTGGGATTTTGTGTACCGTCATTCTTGGCCAAAGGACTCTTTCTAAATCTAAAACTATCTGAAAATACTAGCTATAACTAATGTTCTCCTACCTTGTGAAATTCATAAAAACCTCCAAAGATGATAAGGCCTTTGTTTTATTTTTGATGCCTTTGTTTTATTTTTGAGACATGGTCTCACTATGTAGCCTAGACTGGCCTCAAATTCACTATGTAGCCCAGGCTAGCCTCCAACTTATAAGCCTCCTTCCCTAACTATCCAAGCACTGAGATAACAGTCACAGATGTTGTTCTGAATATAGCTACATCTTTTATCTTCCATAACTATTTGTGTTTCACCATACCTGCATTAAAACTGATTACTATTCTAGAGCCTAGCACATTAGAGATGCTAACTTAAAAAAAGGCATCAAATTGTTATTTTTAAAAAGATGAGGTCAATTAATATGTGCCTGATTTTAAGTTACTTAAATATTTATATGACAGAATTAAATTTCAAGAGAAAACAAAGCAATAATCTGCTGCAATTATGGTACAAGTCATATAAGTAACAAAAAGGAACTACAATCTTTTGTACCAAAACACTGTTTTCTAAATCTTGTAATTTCTGCCCATTATACATACAGTTCTTTACCAAACAGACATTATTATTACTGATTATGCTATCATGATTACCTGGTCAAGGAATATTCTTGCCAGTGGAGCACAGTCAGTGGATCTGATGAACCGCACAACATCCGCCACACTCCACTTCAGTGGGTTACTGTCCAGGTGAAGCCTTTCATCAACTTCAATCCTTATTTCCTTCATTCCCAACAAGATAAAACCAAATGGTATAAGTAATAACCTATTTTTAAAATGTCTCCCCAAAGAAAGTCAATAATCTTTCAAGACAGGATTTAAAGTAGCCTTAATAAGACTAACATCCCCCACTCTGCTTATTCTCACTCTCTTGGACTGATTTCTTCCAGTAAAGATGACAAGAGGCTCATATGCATTAGTTATTTGAGAAACTTATAATATGAATTTTATCATATTTATTTATATTTCCAATGTGTTTCTGGACTGTTTAGCTGTTTTCTGGTATGATGTTAGAGCAAATGGTATTTCAAATGAGAGCAAGAAGAAGAAATCATTTATTGTTCCTGTTAATGGGACATTTAAAAAGTCCAGTTTAAAACGGTAATTTTGTTTTAGAAGTTTTCATGTCATCCAGGCTAGCTTTGAACTGATTGCCTGCTTGTACTTCCCAAGTACTGGGATTACAGGAGTATGTCACCACACCTAGTTTTATACTATGCTGGGGATTGACCTAGGGCTTCATACATTCTAGGCAAGCACTCTACCAGCTCTAAAATATAAGTTAATTGTAGCTTTTAGTATTATATAGGTCATATAATGTAAATTTATGTACATAGTAAATGTGCTAAACAAGACAGCTGAATGAGAATTAAATGGGTAAGTATTTTGTTTCTAGGAAACTATACATATTATAAAAAATTATTTAAACACTTTCCCTTAAACCAAATGGCAGGTTACAAATAAGCTAGCAATGAGACTTTTTATTTAAAACCAGCAGCTTCTGAGAATGTCCCCTCATAAATGATCTCCATACAATCCTTAAAGCACATGAAAACCACAGCTTTGAGGATCACTTAATTTTTTTTTTTTTTTTTAAGATTTCTTTGTATTTGTATTTGTGTGTGCATGCACACAGTACCCAATGGGGCCAGAAGAGAGTATCAGAACTGGGATTCCAGGCAACTTTTTGGCACACAATGCCATGGATGCCAGGAACCCACCTTGAGTCCTCCAGAAGAGCAGGGTGTGCTCTCAACCGCTGAACCATCTCTCCAACCCCCCAACCCCCATCATTTTAAAGTGACCCTAGAAATCCTTCCTAAGTTTATATGGAAAGAAGTGGAATGCTAGCACCTTAGAAATGAAAGAGAGATTTTTTTCCAAACAGGGTACCTTTGGTGAAGGAGGCTTATTTTCCTCATCTGAGAATGAAACAGTGCGGGGTTCTTTTTTACTCGTCTGTGTGTCTGGGGGTAATGGGGCTGAGATCTCAGTCTGGATGGGAGAAGAGGAGCATGACTTTTTTTCTGGCACTTCAGATTCTTCCTGTAACTCGTCCTGTTGCTCAGATGTACTGCCCTCACTTAAGGAATCATCATCTCCATCATCTGCATCTTCCTCATCTTCACCCCCACTTCCCTAGAGGAAAAGGAAGAGATCTCACTCAAGTTCAGGAAAACCAGGACTCACTGGACCACAAAACTATCTACTGACCAGAGATGGAAATTACAAAGATGTGCAGGTGCTATGTATACAGACTGTAAAGCAGGGGTCATTTGGCCCCTACAAAAGACAGATGTGTCAAAGATCTCATACCTGGGGTGAGCCCGCTGGGGTATTATCAACAGATGCAGAAGCGCGTTTCTTCTTATGAACAAAAATATTTTTCCGCCTTTTTCTCTTCTTACTGGCTTTTTTCAGGGCACAAGATAAATTACTATGACCACCAGGTGGCCTCCCAATTCTTTTATTTTTCTTCTTTCCATAATAATGTGCTAAATATAAATGACCAAAAAGAAGAAGAAAAAAAAAGTAGCTTCATTATTGTTGTGTACCTCAAAACCACAGGATTCCATTAGCATGGCAGAAAATAGGTATGCTACATTTGTAGTTTAAATTCCATAACTGGAATAGGCAGAGGAATACATAATTTGATTTGTACTAATATATAAAAATCTAAACAATCCTCACTTTATCAAGGCAGACAACATCTCCATCAATACAGAGAGTTCTCAGACCCCATCATTCATTCACAGGGCAACCACTTTCCTAATTTTCTTCACTGCAGATGAACTTGCTCTTTGCAGCATCATGCAGCAGGCACTGCTTTATAAATTGCTTCTCTCATGCAGTACGATTCATTTTGGTCTCATCTGTGTTGTATATAAAACATTTCGGGAGCTCATTCTTTATGTTGGTGAGTAGGATTCCATTATATAGATGTACCCATTCATCGATTTTATTGTTGATGTGCACTGGGGCCACATCCAGGTTTTGACCATAATTAATGAAGTTGTAATGAACAACTCAGGTTCATTTCAAGAAAAGAAAGTACCCTTAGCCACAGAGTTTTTTCTTTAGCCCTCAAAGCAAGAATCAAACCCCTGGGGCAGGTCCCCCCCCCCCCCCCCCGCCCCGGAGACAGGGTTTCTCTGTGTTGTTTTAAAGCCTGTCCTGGCACTTGATCTGTAGATCAGGCTGGCCTTGAACTCACAGAGATCTACCTGTCTCTGCCTCCCGAGTGCTGGGATTAAAGGCATGTGCCACCAACGCCCGGCCTAGGACAGATGTCTTAAACAATTTAGTGTGTGTGTGTGTGTATAGAAATTTCTAATTGTAGTTTTAAAAAAAATAACAATTACATACATCTACGTAGTACATCATGACATTCATTTATATATATAATATATATAAGATCAGGGTAAACAATATACATTTCACTTTAAACATTTATATTTTTTTTGTATTAGGAACATTTGGAATTCTCTCCACTAAGTATTTTAAACATACAATTAAATGTTGCCAAAAGTTAGCCTTCCATATGATCAGTCTAAGAGTCATCTCCAAGAATAACAAGAGCCTTTGTCTCAAAGAGGTAGATGGCATTCCTGAGCGTCGTCAAGCCTCTGTCCTGGGTGTCTACACAGGTGTACACACAAAGGTGCATGCAAACATAAAAAGTTATCCCTCCACTCCTACTGCATTATTGTACCCAAACAAGCACTCTCCATCCCCACCTCCCGCATACTTTTCCCAGGCTCTGGTAGGTGAGTACTGTTCTATTATTAGCTTTAGCTTCCACATAGAAATGGGAATATTTGAACAGAAGAGAGCAAGATAAGAGATAACATAATAGAGGGAGACATTACAGGTTTACAGAGAAATCAGGCACTAGGGAAATGTCTGGAGAGCTACAAAGATGACAGCAACTAACAATCTAAGCAACAGAGGAGAGGCTACCTTAAATGCCCTCTCCTGATAATGAGATTGATGACTAATTCTTATGCAATCATATAGCCTTCATCCAGCAGCTGGTAGAAGTAGAAGCAGTCACTCACAGCTAAACCTTGAATTGAATTGTAATCCATTTGCAGAGAAGGACTGATGAGCATAGGGGTCCATACCAGGCTGATGAAACCCACAGAAACAGCAGACCTGAGGACTGCTGGGAGAGTTCTTGGTCCCCAGACTGATAGATGGGAAACCAGCTTGGGACTGATCCAGACCCCCTGAATGTGGGTGTCAGTGAGAAGACCTTGGAAATCTATGGGGCCCCTTGTACTGGATCAGTACTTATCCCTAGCATAGGAATAGACTCTGGGAGCCCATCCCACATGGAAGGATACTCCCTGAGCCTAGGTCCTATCCCAAAGGACATAACAGACTTTGAAGACACCCTACGGAAGGTCTCATCCTCCCTGGGGAGCAGATAGGGTATGGGACAGATAGGGTATTAGTTGGGGGGGGGCAGGGGAGAAGGGAAGGGAGAGGGGCCTGGGATTAACATGTAAAATAATCTTCTTTCTAATTAAAATAAAAAAGAAATGGGAATATTTAGTATTTTATTTGTCTGTGTGACATGTTTCTCTTATCTTTAAGTTATATCCATATTACTACAAATCTCAAACTTCTATTTCCCAAGTAACAAATTATACTGAGCCATTTTCATGTGTTTACTATAGATTTATATAATATCTTCTTCCATGATGTTTATGCAAGCCTTTTATTATTTAAAACTGTTTTTATGTTATTTAAAAAAACCAAAAAAAGTGACACTGTAGATTGCACCTAAGATTGCACAAGTTTCCTACCACCAAGTTGTAACCCACTTTTTATTTTTTGAATTAATGTTTCTATTTTTTTTAACTAAAACTCATGTAACATACAATTAACTATTGAATTAATATACAATTCAATGTTAGTATATTCAAAATGGCATGCAGCTATTATCTTTATATCATCTCATAACTTCCCTTTTTATTGCTGAGCTGTGGAAATTCATAAAATTTTCTGGAAAGAATTCATGGCTGGACACACAAATTAAGAATATTTCCCCAATATCATTGTTTGGCTTTTTCTTTTTTAAATGGCATTATTCAAAACACGACATTTTCCATTTTGGTGTTTCCTTTATGACATCAGTATTTCTGGGTCATCACTAGGAAATCTTTGCTTGCCCTAAGAAGCTTTGTAGGTTTTTTGTTTTTTTTTAAAAAGATTTATTTATTCATTTATTTAGTATACAGTATTCAGTCTGCACCCCAGAAGAGGGCACCATGTCTCATTAGAGATGGTTATAAGCCCCCATGTGGTTGCCAGGAATTGAACTCAGGACCTCTGGAAGAATAGCCAGTGCTCTTAACCTCTGAGCCATCTCTCCAGCCCGCTCTGTAGGTTTTGATTTTTACATAAGGCATCTATAACAGATCTAACATTGATTTCTGCACAGTAAATGAGAGAAGAGCAGGGAGTCTAGATTTTTGTTTGGATAGTCACTATTACTGGTACCATGTTAAACTTAGTTCTTTCTTCACCGTTTGTCACCTTTGTTAAAATCATTTGATCATGTCAGTTTCACTTTATTTCTAGATCCTCTATTTCAATTCACTATTTTATTCTACAACTCTTTTATAATAATTATATCTCTGAATAACTACAATTGCCTTTTATGGTTAAAAAAGAGTAAGTCCTTCAACTTTATTTCTGTTCTTTTTCCAGGATGAAAGGCTTGGGTATTCTAAAATAGTTCTTATTCTTCTTTAAAGTTTAGAATATAGAGACAAAAACATGCAGCACCTGGCATGGTGGCATATGCCTATAATATCAGTAACCGGAAGACTGAGTTTGAGGGAACTCAAAGCTACATAGTGAATTCTAGGCCAGTCAGGGCTACACACAAAGAGTATGTCAAAACAAGAGCTGGGAATGGTACTGCAAACCTGGGCTACATAGTAAGACCTTGTCTGAAGAAAACAAACTAAGCCAACAAAGCCCCAATGCTTCTACCCCTCCCACCCCCACACACACAAAGAAAAAGGGGGCTTGGGATGTAGCTTAAACACAGGGTATTTGCCTAGAATGCATGAAGTTCTGGTTCAACACCTAATACCACACATGGAAGGGAGGGAGGGAAGGAGGGAGGGAGGGAAGGAGGAAGGAAGGAAACAAGTCGGGGAAATAATTTTGGTTATGTAGTAAAGTAATATAAAAATCCAATATAATTTTCTGCAAAAAATGAATTCCTCCTTGGTTCTTCCATTTTTAAGGATAAAAAAACCCAATAAAACAAAACAAAAACAGGATAAATGTGATCACTTGACCCCTGGTATATTTATCATCTGATCCTTTACAGAAAAAAGAAGCTTGTGCTTCTGATACATCAGTGTCTCTGCAAGATGTAATATGGCAAATATTATAGCTACACATCTGAAATCCATTACTCACTGTATTTAGTCTTTGTAAGAACAGAGCAATTCTCAGAACATGTATCCAGAACCATCCGTGGACCAAAGAGGTTAGGACAACATTCTAGTTTGATACATGTTTGCCGGCAGAATTCAGTCACTCGATCTGCTGTTTTCACTATCTCAACAGTAGCTCGGTAACTCTTTCCTTTATATCTACAATTAGAAAACATCAGAAGCCAAATTTATTCCACCAGTGATTACCCCAAGAAAAATTTAACAGAAGCATTCTGAAAACAGTTTTACTTCTCTTTCATAGTTGAGAAGTTTTTTTTTTTAATGATTTATTTTTATTCTATGTGCATTTATGTTCTGCCTGCAGGTATGTCTCTGTGAAGGTTTTGGATCCCCGAACTAGAGTCACAGACAGCTATGAGCTGCCATATGGGTGCTGGGAATTGAACCTGGGTCCTTTGGAAGAGCAGCCAGTGCTCTTAACCACTGAGACATCCCTCCAGTCCCCATAATTTGAGAATGCTCAAAACAAAAAGGAAGTTTTACAGTCTGTACTTAAATCTGGTACACTACAACTTGAAAATTAAGTTGTTTAAATAAGAAAGACAAAGTCTTTGCTTTCTGTTCTTAGGTGAAAGTATGTATTATGTAGTATGTATGTATGTCTGTATGTATGTATGCATGCATACATGCATTTATTTATTCATTCATTTGAATGATCAAACCAAGAGGCCTCAAGCATGCTAGGGAAGCACTCTACCACTGAGCTCTGTTCCCTAGCCTTGAAGAATTTTAAATACTACTTTTACTAACTACTATAAGAGCACCTTTGTATTAAATCCTCCTTCATCCTGAGCAGTAATCCTCAGAGTGTGGCTCAAGGACAATATGACATGCCAACTGCCATCCATCCACAAAAAAAGTTCAGATCAGAAAGCAACAGTAAATGTTCGTAAATTTTCACAAAAGTTTTAAACTTATTTTCTATATCTTCCCTCTAATAAAAGTGTTCTAGTGTTTATGTCTCTTAAAGTTTGTATTTCTTCTAAATCATTTTTATCATAGAACAGAAAGGAAATCAAAAAGGAAAAATCAGCCTGGTCCTTCAGCACAAACAGCTGGAGCAGCTTTGATCTAACACTACCAGGAAGCTCCATGACCTGTGAATGACAAGAGTAAAAGGTGAGGACTCTACTCACTTGGCCTTTAGGACTTCTCCACATCCATGCCACACAGAATCCTTGTCCAGCTGGAGCTCACGAAGGACACGGCTGGGTTTGTAGGCTGCATTGATGAGTAAAGTGAGGACCTGAGATGGGGTAAGGCAGAAACGTAGGTTCAGGTGGAAGGAGAAAAATCAGACCATTAGAATTTTAACACACTTGCTAGCCTTAAGACTTTTAAGAGCATTTTGGAGATTATTTCCAGTTATATTAAGAATGTTAAGAAAATAATAAAAGCAAAAATACGACAGCTACAAATTAAGAGTGATCAGATTCTTAACATTCAGGAAAGGATTCTACGATGTGCTTCCACATGCTTTCTCCATCATGGTATGCACAAACAAATCTATTTATTGGGGACTGGGGAAGAAAGGATTTAGTTGGCTTACAGGCTACAGTCTTTCACCATGAGAAGCCATGCCTGGCAGAAGCCTAGTGGCAGAAACTGAAGCAGAGACCATGTAGAAACAACTGCTTACTGGCTTGCTTCTCGTGGACTGCACAGCCTGCTTTCTTATACAATCCAGGATCACCTGTCCAGAGGTAGTATTCCACAGTACACTAGGCCCTCCCATATCAATCATTAATCAATAAAATGCCCTAGAGACTTGCTAATGGAGACATCTTCTCAACTGAAACTCTTCTTCCCAGATTACTCTAGCTTATGTAAAGTTGACAAAAAAAAAAAAAAAAAAAAAAAAAAAAAAAAAAAAAAAAACTGTACAGACATCAGCTTTCTGATGGCTAGAAGAGTCTGGTCCAAAAACTCTAGCTTCCTCAGCCTCTGCCTTGCCCTTCTGAAGACTGGCAGGTTCAAGTCCTCATATTTGTTACTTACAGTGCAACATACTGGTCAAAGGTTCTGAAAGCCTGAGAAATGCACAGCTTAATCATGGACTCTAGTTAATGTCACACAACTTATGTTGTAAACTAATCTCACAGTGAAAACATATACTCACACACGTTTTTTTAAAATGCAGTCTTGCTTTGAACTCAAAATTCTACTGCCTCAGCCTCCTAAGTGTGGTGTAAGGACAAAAGTAACTTACTTATACTCCCTGGCACAGACCATCCCAACTCTGCAGCTACTTGTGCCAAATCTATCCTCCAGGCCCAGCCAGGCCCACATATCCTGTGCTCTGGCTCAGTATGGTGAGTCCACCTGATCCTAATTCTGCCTGAATCCTCTCCAAGCACAGAAAACAAATGAAACTATAATTACTGAAACACAAAGTACAATCAGAACACAAATAGCAAAGCAAAATTCCCAAAATTCCAATAATAACTTTAAATAATGGCATCAACTCTCAAAAGACACAAGCTGGTGAATGGATTATGAAACAAAAATCCAGCTTTAAAGACAGACCCTACATTAAAATAAAAGGATGTAAAAAAGTATTCTAAGCAAATGGGGACAGGAAGCAAGCTGGCATTGCTATCCTAATATCCGACAAAATAGACTTTAAACTAAAACTAATAAAAGAGAGAGACATTACTGCTGATCAAGAGTCAAGAGGACAATCAACAGAGAAGACATAACTTTAAACACGTATGTGCCAAACTCTGTTGAGTACTCAATTTCATAAAATACCTACTACTAGAATTAAAGACACCAGTGAACACCAACCCAATAATAGCAGGTGCTTTTCATACCCCGCTGTCTCCATGAGACAGAACATATGGACAAAATATGAACAGAGAAACATCAGAATTAAATGACATCATACATCAAATTCAACCTAACAACTCTACAGAATATTCCACCCAAACACTAAATAAGACACATTCTACTCAGCAGCCTACATTGTAAGATAAAACAAATCTTAACAAAATCAGAAGAACTGAAATACTTGTGTATTCCATCTGACCATAATGCAATAAAACTTAAAAAATTGACAACAAAGAAATAATCTCCCAGAGATTAAACTACATCATTACTGAATGATGAATGGTTCAAAGAAGAAATGAAAAAATCCTAGAACTAAGTAACAATGAAAACACAACAAAATGCCTGGGATACATAAAAAGCAACCCTATGGAGAAAACTTATAGCTCTATCTGCCTATATTTAAAAAAATCAGAAAAAGCACAAACAAATAAGTTACTTGATGCAATTCAAGGATTTGGAAAAACAAGAACAAATTAAATCCAGTAGATGACAAGAAATAATAATAGAAAAAAATCTGAGCAGAAATTGATGAAACTGAAAGAACACAAAGAATCAATGACTCTAAGAGCTGGTTCAAAGATAAACAAGACTGATGGACCTTTAGAGTTACAGGCACACATCACAACACCCAGCTGTGGGTGAATGTTCCCTGAAGAGTAGAGACACTCATGTGCCGATTTGCCATGTAGGCTAGTAGTGCCCAGCCTCAACTATGATTTTGTGTTCTAAGTTGCAGCCACATATGAACCACAGTAGTCCAAAACCCCAGAAATAATTCACAAATTTTTAAGTTGTACACCATTTTGATACACTGATGAAATCTTGTACCATCCTGCTGATGCATGTGAATTATCACTGCCTACTGTTTCCATGCTATACACATTATCTATAGCCTCTTAGTAACTATGCCAATTATCAGATTAGCTCTTGAGATATCACAGTGCATGTCATGGCTCAAGCAATCCTTAACATAGTCCTATGTCACAGCACCCATCATGTGGGCATTGATCTGATCTCAAACTATAATAAGAAGATACATTTCAGTAAGATCATAAAAGATGACTTTCATTCAACTTTTATTATAGTTTAAATTATGGTTTAAATTTTTATTTTATTACTTGTTATTGTTGTTAATCACCTACCATGTCTAACTTATTAAATTTTATCACAAGTGTGATGGTTTGGACACAGTTTGAATATGTTCCCCTCCAAAGCTTATGTCCACAGTATGATGGACATAGAAGGTGACAGAATTCTTACGAGGTAAGGCTAGGTAGGAGGTTGCCACTGTTAGTTGTGATTGTCAATCTGACACAAAGTACAATCACCTGGGGCAGGTGTGTCAGTGAGGAGTCATCTAGACTTGGCTTCCTCATGGGCATGTCTGTGGGAGACTATCTTGATTATACTGACTGACCCAGCTTAAAGTGAGTAGCACGGCTCCCTGGGGTTGGGTCCTGGGTGTGTGTAAGGAGGAAGTGCGCTGAGCACAAGCATGCATGCATCCATCCATTCACCTGCTCTTGACTGTGGTACAATGTGAGCAGCTGTTCCAAATTGCTGCTGCCTTGACTTCCCATCAATGATGAATTGTAATCTACATTATGTGTTTTGTCAGATTTTTTCTCTTTTTCTTTCTTTTTTTTGGGGGGGGTGGGTGGGGTGGTTGGGTGGGGAGTTACAGCAACAGAAAATGAAACTAGAGGTCCTTAGAAAAATTGGAAACATGACCTCAGAGGGGACAGTAGGTCTCCAGTCTCTCTCAAGCTGCTGCTTTATTTATTTATTTATTTATTTATTTATTTATTTATTTCAAGACAGGGTTTTTCTGTGTAGCTTTGGAGGTTGTACTGGAACTTGCTCTGGAGACCAGGCTGGCCTCAAACTCACAGAGATCCATCTGCCTCTACCTGCCAAGTGCTGGGATTAAAGGCATGCACAACCAATGCCTCTTAAACTTCTTATTTGGCAACATGATTCTTCCTCTCATGTGTAGTTTTCATTATGATTTGACAGTTGAGAGGAACTTCACCATAAGCCAAACTGATAGGGGTACTTGGTCTCAAACTTTTTAGCCTCTTAAAACTATGTACTAAGTAAACCTCTTATTCTTTATAACTAATCTCCCTCGGGTATCTTGGTACAAGCACAAAAAGGTATTAATACAATACATATAGGGGGAAAAAACACAGAATCTATAAGGTTTGGTACTTTTCACATTTCTAGGCACTACCTGAAGTCTTAAAATTATATCATCATGGATAAGAGGGAACTACTGTACATGAGAAATTAGCTATATTTGATTAAACTATAGTTGTTATATCGAAGACACATGGTTCTCTGCATGAATGAGCCCAGGAGACTACTGTTCAATTTTCAAGTTCTGCCCTAGGTCATAATCTTACCTCTCTAAGTACCAGAACACAGTTCCCAGGTCCTACACATTGAGGCAGCTCAGCAATTCTTCCCTTGTTAAGATACGGCCCTGAGAAGCAACGGTGGTTGAAATATATCTTTGGACAACAATATTTTCCATTGGTCATCACTGGAAATGAAGAAAAAAGGATTCAAAGTCGTCATTCTCACTCTACTCCATGTATCCAAAGATGAGTTGGGGGTGACAACCAGCATACATAACATTATATGGGTTTTGAAATTGTGTGTGTGCGCGCGCGCATGCGCGCGCTCGTGCGTGCGTGTGTATGGGTATGGGTTTTACACATGCTATGAAGGCTTTGAGCTACATTCCCAGCCATGGAAATACACATTTTGAAGGTCAGCATACTTTTTGATAATACTCTTAAATCTTACTTTATGCTAGCCTTCAGAGCTTATCATTATCCTGAACTATATATGTTGACTAACTCCTGGTTATGTGACACAAATCTAGAGCTCCACACTTCTAATAAAGGAAGTAGAATACCAACTCTATGAACCCACTAGTCTTGATGGTCAGTTCTTTCTTTTCTAGTCCTTCAAATATCAACTATTCAATAATCTGTTCTATAGCATTCCTAGATATAAATGTTGAACATTACCCAGACTTGGAGCTTGTCTTCTAAGCCCTACCCTAATTAATACTACAAATATACAGGGGCTTTTGATACATTTTATTTCAAGATAAGAGTCTCACTATGTAGCTCTAGTTGGCCTAGAGTTTTATGTATAGACCATTCTGGCCTTGAATTTGAGGATATCCTCCTGCCTTTATCTCCCAAATGGTGGGAATACAGACATGTGCTACCAACACTTGGTTCAAATACATTCTTTATTTCCAAATACAGTCCATTAAAAGGTAACCAAGGATCTCTTCTCCACAATGTCATAAATTCTATACCTGAGTGTGTGGAGTTCAGCTGATTCTTCAGGCCCCCATGGACAGTTCTTGAAGACAATATTCTGGATCAAGAAAATAAAGGGAAAAAAATAGTGAAATTACCTTTAATACCAGCAAAGCCTACAGGTTCGTTTCCTTCAAAAAAGCAAATGTGGCAAGTTGCAAATCTAAAACAGAAGAATGTTCTTAACTCATAAACATTATTTTGAAAGTAGAAATTGTTCTTAAAACCATGCAGAGGACAAATGAGCCAACAATCTATAGACATGATATTAAATGTTCAGAAATTATAAAAATGTATTAGAGAATCTGTAATTTCTTGTGGGATTTTGATTGTTGTTTGAGACAGGGTCTTGGCATATATCTCTAGCTGAGCTGGTACTCAAACTCATGGCAATCATCCTACCTCAGCCTCCTGCTTACTGGAATTACAAGCATGCCCCACTATGCCTGACTTTGTTGTCTTTAAAACATTGTTCCCACGTCTATTACTTCCAACTTTGCAACTGCAAATAGCTTTGAGCTGACATTAGTGCTTCCAGGGTAGGATGTGTCTGACTCCATATAGTTAAGCCTGCAAAAATGCTGAAGTCTATGTCTAGAATAAGGTTATGTAGGGAGTAGGAAGGTGTGTTTGGGGAAACATAAAGGGGAACAATGGGGGCTTTCATAAGATTCTTAAAGTCAAAATTAGAAACCAACAATAAAGCTGTTCATGTAATCCTGGTAAGAAAAACTCTGTTTTAAGTATAAATAAAGATGGCCTAAGCTATTTCTGGGCCACTTGAGCAATCCACTTGGTGGTCAGAAAATTTCCTTGTATCAACCCCCCTTCTCAGCTTTAGGACCTGAATCAGAGCCGAGGCTGGACCCTGGGTACTCAAGTAAACGATTCAGTTTTTCAGTCACACAACAAAAATGTTTCTTGTGTATATTGATATATTCATGGGTATAGAGGCCAGAGGTTCACTCATGTACCACATTTTTTGACACAGAGTCCCTTACTAGAACCTGGGCTGACCAATTCAGTTAGATTAACTGGGTAGCAAGCTCTAGGGTCTGCTTGTCTCTACCTCCCTACCACCCACATACACACTTATTTAATACACTAGAGATGCACTCTACTTGAAATCCTCAAAAATATTTTTGAGCCTTTTAAAATGCTTCATGACTGAAACTTTGACTTGACCTTATCAACTAACTTAAGGAAAAATCCAAAGCTATTTTTTTTTTTTAAACTCCAACCCAAGGAACATAACTACACTCACAAAAACACAGGCAATAATCTAATTTTGCCAAACACAAAAAGAAGCAGGAGGGCATTTTTTTTTTTTTTTTGGTACTGCTATATCACTTATGTACCAGGGATAAAATTCTATGGCTTTTTTCTTTACTTCTACTATCAGTTTTATTACATACATAGGTACAAAGGTGTAAATTATTTACTAGGTTATTACAGAAGTTGCCGCTCAAAATTCATTTGTTCAAACCCCAACCAACAATGTAACTGCATATCAAGGTCATGCTTTTAGGAGATAATGAAGACTTATTTAGAACTTATTAGATCCTACAGTAGGATCATCTAATAGCCTTATAAGATAAGACAAGGAGAGATATTCACTGTGGGAAGTCCTATATAGAAGGCGTCCGTCAGTATGCCAGGAAGCAAGGCCTTAAATGGAACCAAATCAACTGCCATTTTGATCTGATGATTTCCTAGCTTCTAGAATATGAGAAAACTAGCTTCTGTGGTTCATTTCACCCAGTCTATGGTAATTTTGTATGGCAGCTTATTAGATGGGTTCAAAGGAGGAATGTAGCTTTTCTTTTTCAGTTGCTGTTTTGTACATCAAGATACTATGACAAATCATTCCCTAACTTACAATTCTTATTCTTCTCTTACAAATATTTCCCCTCTTTTATTCAAATGCCTTTGGTAACTAAAAGCTAAAAAAAAAATAATTTTGGGAAACATCTTAAGGATATATTTGCCCTTTTGTATATACTAAGAATTTTGTTTTGAGATAGGGTTTTACTACATAACCCAGGCTAGCCTGATACTCACTATACAATCCAGGCCTGCCTTAAATGATCCTGCTGAGTCAGCCTTTAATGTAGCTAAGATGATAGGTATATACCACCATGCTTAATTTTACTATGCAATTTTAGGAAAGGAGTATACTGAGAGAAATATATAAGTTATCAAATTTGACTTAAAAGTTTATGCTTCCAGCTGAGAAAATAACACAAAGGATATATATGCTCTTAAACAGTTATTTCCCCTAGATATTCTAAATTTGAAACCTGAACTGTTTTGACATCTATTATATTACTTACTGTTTTTCTGGTTGGACCACTGCGATTTTTCTCTGTTTATGCACTATACAAGAAAAAAAAAAAAAGCCAAAAAATTTAAAAACAAAGGCAAAGACTTAAGCTTGTAATCATCATATTTGATAGCTGGCTCTATGTAAATAATGAGCAAGTACTTTATTAGTCTTTAAGTGTCAAAATTCTTTTTTCTTTTTCTTTTTTTTTTTTTGAGGCAGAGTTTCTTTGTACTGGCTGGTCTTGAACTTACTCTGTAGACCAGGCTGGCCTCCAACCCACTGAGATCCCCCTGCCTCTGCCTCCTGAATGTTGGGATTAAAGGTGTGTGCCACCATTGCTCGGTTAAGTGTCAATATTCTAACTAAGGAACATTTTTCTTATTTAGAATCTTCTTAGAAAAAACAAAAAGACTATTTTCAAGGATCACTAGGCTAATCAATACCTACAAATACTTTAACAGAATAAAAAGATACTGAAAAGAAAGGCTCATCTGATGAGGACCCTAGGACCAGTAAACGGAGAAGGAATAGTTTTCAACACAGTGCTAGGGAAATAAAACATTCATATGTGCAAAGCTTAACTTACATCATAAGATGAAAGCAAATTACTGAACACAGAGATAAAACTTCAAAACTCTTACATATAGAAAAAGTTCACAGCACTGAATTTGTAGAACCATTCTTAAATATGACACTAAGAGGTGATAAAAGAGCCAATGAATTACACTGGAATACATTAAAATTAAAAATGTGTATAAAAAGAGAATAAAGGGTTGATGAGATGGCACCGTGGGTAAGGGCCTTGTCACTAAGTCTGATAACCTGCGTTTGATTCCCAACAGCCACTTGGTGGAAAAAAAAGAATCAACTCCCAGAAGTTATTCTCTGATTTCCACATGCATGCAGTGCACACACACATAATAAATGTAGAAAAAAACAACCACCATATAACTAAGAGTGAAGGGACTGGAGAGATGGCTCAGCAATTACGAGCACTTGTTCTTACATAGAACTTGAGAGGCAGAGGTAGGCAAATCTGAATTCAGGGTCACCTCGGTCTACATACTGAGTTCTAGCCAAGTCAGAGTCTATTTACATAGTAAGACCTTGTCTCCAAAAAAAAAAAAAAAAAAGGCTATCTCATTCCAAGCCAAATGCCTATTTCTCAGCTGCTCTACAAAGAGATCCATTTGGCAAAGAACTTCAGCCAATGGTCTGAAAGAACTAAGTACCTTGGTTCAAAGCCTATGGAAATTCCTGCTGCTGCTGCTGCTGTGTAACTGTACTCTCAAATTAATTCTGAAGCCTACTTACCACATTAGGAGTTGAGGCACTTGGTAGGTGATTAGATGGCCAAGACACACCTTTCATGCGTGGGATTAGTACCCCTACAAAGGATGCCTCAAAGAGTAAGCAATCTGTTTTAGCAAGAACATCTCTAAGCTGGAGACAAGTCTCAGAGGTTAAGAGTACTTGCTACTCTTGCAGAAGACCCTGGTTTAGTTCCCAGCCCCAACACAGTAGTTCACAACCACCTATAACTCCAGTTCCAGGGACTTTGATATGTTCTTTTGAACTTGGAGGACATCAGGCACCCACATGCTACACATACACGCAGGCAAAACACTTATATACATATGATAAAAAAATTAAACCTAAAAACAAAACAAAAAGCCTCATCTAGGAAATAGAAAACAAATCCTAATATCTGCTAACACCCTATCACTTGGGCTTCCTAGCCCCAGTGATGATAGATATGTTAGATATAATAGAATTTTGATATCAAAACCAGAATGGACTAAGACACTTGCCAATAACCATCTGAATAAACATGGGGAGAGGCTCTCCAGTTCCAAGCCCTAAGACAATACCTGCCCTGGTGGAATCCTATATTACAGTCAGTGAGAAATCAAAATTACCTAAGTTTAGCCCACACCTCTAAGCTAATAAAAGATTGTTGCAATAAATAACTGCCTACACAAAAACATAGTATCTTTCGATTTTCCCTCAAATGTCTATATTCATCCTAAATGGTAGCACCTGTGCAAGAGATCAATTCAGGATTAGATTACCCTCTAATCCAGAAATAGACAAATACCTCTTGCCCGGCGAGGAGTACTGAGAGGATGGCCGTTGGTTTCACACCAGCCCAAAGGAAATATATCCATTGATTCCACACTTACAATAAATTCGGGTATAGGTTTCTTAGAACCTGTTAGATTAAGAAAACAATTTGAACTAGTAAACATCTTCCTTTATAAGTTTCTTTGTTTTATGTTGTTTATTTCTTTAGTTTTTGAGACTGGGTCTCACTAGGTAACATAGGCTACCTTTGAAATAGTGATCCCCCTGCCTCAGCCTCCCAAATATTGGGACTATAGGTATTGTACAACCATGCCCAGTCCTACACATTACTTTTTATACAATACTGTAATAATATAGACACAATTATCTTAAGCAATAAATTTTCTCATGGGAGCCATATAGTTTATGTTATGTAAATACTATGAAAAAATAAGTTGCCTTCTATATGTAACTTGTAAGAATCAAGAAGGAAGTAAATACACAGAGTAGAGTAACCTTTGGCAAAGGAACAGCAAAGAAGCAAGTGGAGCTATGACTGGTGTCATTCAGAAGGCTAACAAGTATCATAGGCATTTCCTTGAAATTTACTTTAACTACCAGGACTAACGTCTTGCATTCTTGTAATAAACCTGAATGTGGAACAATGAATTCAAACCAGGAAAAGATCTGCCAAGTTGCTTGGCAGATGTTGCATTGACAGCTGCAGTAAAAACTGTCCTTGACATCTGCATTACAGGTCAGTTTTACAAATCAGAAACAGAAGGCATCTTTTTAGAGATTATTTGGCATGGATAAAAAAAGAAAAAACAGGTCATGTACAATTGCTGCAGCATTGAGCATTTACTTAGCTTCATCAACAAATCTGCCCAATCACTAAACATTACTTTAAGAAAGACAAATCAAGTTTGTCTACATTCTACTTGATTCTATTGTCTTGAGGCAACCAAAATGTTATCTCTTCAGTGAGGCAGTTAATGTTACACTAATGTATTTTGGTATATCTTATTTTGACTTGCCCTTATGAAAATAAAGGACTCTAAAGAGCTTTTATTGACTTTCATTTCCTAAAATTTAAAAGCCAAGAACAAAAAGTAAAATGTTAGCTTAAAATCTTGGATTTCAAATTATATCACCATTTAACAAGTTCACCAAGTCTAACAAGCTACACTACAGGAGTGAGCAGGAAGAGCAAAGGAATGGCCACAGGAAACTTGTCAGGCCCTTACCTTCTAGCTGGAGCCACAGGTAGGAACCTCTCACTGCAGTAATGGTGGCAATGCACACTTCTTCAGGAAGAAGAGGGTTCACTGCCTCCAGTTTCATGTTCTTCTTAAACTGGTGCTCAGAAATTGACTAGAAGAAAATCAATAAGTCAAATTCATTAATTAGATTAATACCTAGTATTAACACATGTGCTCAAATGGAATGTTTTGTAAGCAGTATTTAATCCCTAGATTTACAGTAAAGCAATGAGTACATTTTGTTCTGCTTTGCTTTCAAGGAAGCAAAAGGAAAATAGGAGGAAACAGGTTTTAGGATTTAATTGTTTTCCTTCCTGATAACTCATTAAAAATTACTTTTGCTTTTTGGGAGTATAAACCTAGGGCTGTCTATAGATGGGCTCAGTAGGTAAAGATACTTGTTTGATTCCCAGAAACTACAAAGTGGAAGGTTAAAAAAAAAAATCCAACTCCACAAATTGATCTCTCTACATGTGTGCCATGACATCTGCACATGTACACATGCACACACTGAAAAATAAAACCATCACCTAGCAGGATGCATGTAACAAGAGATGGTAAACATAAACTGGCAATGAAGAACACCAAGAACTGTTAGAACCAGGACTGATGTAAGTGGGGGCAGAAGAGAAGTGGCCTAAACAAGGTCTGGTTGATTTGCATGTTTCTTCCGGTTGTTTCAGACAGGTCTCATGTAGCCCAGGCTGACCTCTAACTCTTGCTACATGCAAAGATGTGACCTTTATTCCTGATCGTCCTACTTCCACCTTCCAAGTGCTGGGATTTCCTGGTTGTACCACCACACCTGGTTTATAATTCTCAGAACCTAACTCAGGGCTCCATAGTTGCTAAGCAAGCACTCTAAAAAGATATTGAGCTACATTCCCAGCCCCTCATTTTTTAAAATTAAGAACAAAATGTTTTTTGAGATGGGGGGGTCTTAGGTCTTAGTATTTTAGAAATGGCTGGCCTCCCATTTACATCAATCCTCCTGCCTCAGCCTCCTGGAGCACTGGAATTACAGATGTGTCCCTTCATGCTTTGGAGGACCTTTTTCTTTCCTTTCTTTTTTTTTCCAGAAACATTTAGAAAGCATGTACATTATGCCATTATGTATTATTACATACCTCAGGGCAACTGTGTCTTTCCCTTCCCTACAGAAAGTGAGATTTATTCTCTGGAAAAGATAAAATACAAGATCTTTGGGCAGGAGGACACAAACAACTGTTAAGGGTGTGTATGTAGTGAAGGCCCAGCCGTAGCCTCTATAATATCAGACGGGACAGGAAAAGATCTTTTACAGTAATAGGACAACACATAAAGATATAAGTTTAACTTTTCTCAATAAATGGCCAGTCAGATCCCACTCTGTAGGAAAAATCAAGGTTGACAAACCCCATCCAAACATGCTCAAAGTTTCTAATAAGTTTTACTTTCCCATTCTTAAATGTAAGCCATAACCTAAAATGATCAGATGTTTAAGAATATAAAAGCTACAGACAAAACCAGCAATTGGAGAAAGCAGAGAGCAGACAAGGAAACCTTCAAACTAGTGTTACTTAAAGAATAGTACACCATTAAAAATAAAGAACTATCAGAGCTTTGTTTGCTGGTGCATGCCTTTAATCACAGCACTTAGGAGGGAGAAGCAGGTATAGCTCTCTGTGAGTTCAAAGCCCATCTTATCTACATAGTGAGTTCCAGGCCAGAGAGAAAATACAGAGACCCTGTCAAGTGAGACTGCCTCAAAACACAAAACAAAATAAAGAACTACTCAAAGAGAAGCAGTTCTGAAAAACAAAAAAATATAGTATAACAAATTAAAAAAACTTGGGGCTGGAGAGATGGCTTAGAGGTCAAAGCAATTGCTACTTTAGCAGAGGACCTGGGTTTGGTGCCAGAATCCACATGGTGGCTTACAACCCCCTGTATCTCAACTTCCAAGGGATCTGATACTCTCTTCTAGCCTTTAAGGGAACCACATGCACGTAAACACAAAACTCTCAGACATAATGGAAACTCTTATAATCCCAGTACTTGGTAAACTGAGGCAAGAGGATTACCATGAGCCTTGGACCTCCTTGTATGTCTGAGGCCAACCTGGACTACATAGTGAGAGTAAATCTCAAACAAACAAACTGTAAATTGTTTTTTTGAGACAAGATCTCAAAAAAAAAAACAAAAAAAAAAAAAAAAAAAAAAAAAAAAAAAAAAAAAAAAAACGAAGCCCTAGCTGGTCTAGAACTCACTATGTAAACCAGGCTGGCTTTGAACTCATAGAGATCCATCTGCCTCTACCTCCCAGATACTGGGGACTAAAGGCATGAGTCACCAGGCTCTGCTGAGATTCTATACTTTCTATGAGAGGAAAAAAGGCAGGCTACCTGCAACTTTACACAAGGGGGAGAGAAAAGGTAAGTTCATCCACAAAAAGTTAAGAATAACCTGTCTCAAAAAACAACAACAAAAAGCCAAGAGTAAAATTGTCATTTGACTTAAAAAAAAAAAAAACACTAAAAGACAAATGAGTAGTATTTTTTAAATTCTGAAGTAATGACCAACCTAACTTTCATATTAAAGCTAAACTATGAGTATGCCAGTAGAATGAAAATTTCAATATATAGAATTTATTAAAAATTACATAGTCATTATAATCATGTTTTAAGAAGCAACTGCAGGCTCAATCAAAACAACCAAGCAAGGGGCTCGAGAGAATAGCACTTGCTGTGAAAGCAATAGGACCCGAGTTCAAATCCTCAGTACTTATGTAAAAAGCTACACATGATGGTAATGCCTACAATGCCAAAGTTGTGGTGCAGAGAGGCAAGTGGATGCCACAGGATCTCTGGAAATGGGTCAGCGTATCAGAGACAGAAAGCTTCATGTTCAGTGATAGGCCCCACCTTTTAAAAACTGGAAAGAAACAACATGACATCCAACATCCCCTTGTGGTATTTGCATGTGCACATATGTCTATGTTTGTCTCTATCTCTCTTTCCCTCTCTTACACACACACACACACACACACACACACAGCCAAGTAAACCAAGAAAAGAGGAAAGAGGCCATGAATTACATAATAGTAGCTCCAAATCATAAAGGGAGAGGGCAATTCCCTGTGTGATAGTGACAAAACTACTTGGCAAGCCTCGAAAGCAACCTATCCAGGGAGAAAAAAATATTAGGAACAAACAATGATCTGACTATTGGACTGCCTTTCTGAATTAGTAACAAGAAGCTACTACAAGGTATGAGAAGAACTAGTAATTAACACAAAGAACATTAACCAAACAGCAACAAAACAGCAATTATTAACACAGCAAATGTTTTAAAAAGAAAAACAATCACAAAATACTGCAGCAGTGAGCTAGTAAAGCTTAAATGCATACAATGTAAAACTTTAACTGAAATTTCATCAAAACTAATAGTGATGATTAAGGCAGAAGGGAAGGTAACATAAAACATTTAATATAATGTCACCAACGTCAAGTGTCTAAAATTAATACCTCAAAAGAGTATAGCATATCATTTTGAAAATAATGAGGTATAAATACAAGAATTACAATGAAAGAAAAAAATGTAGTCACGGTATAAACTAAGTTCATGATCTCTCCAAGGTATGGTTGAGGGGTCTCACCGGAGGGAAGCACTTCTGGGGAGCAGCTTCAGCACCACACTGTTTGAGGTAGTCAGCCCAGTCAAAATCTTGGCTTCGGAAACCTACAGAGACAGAAGAGCAATGGTTCACTCCCAATATACTTCCTGACTAGCATCTGCCAATGTGTCCATTCATAACTCCTAAGGCTGCTATTTATGTACTTTTATCAATGTAGAGGGGCACTCTATAATATAAACCATAAGTAATTAGTATTTTTCATACTAGGTAACTGAACCCAAAATGGCACATAGCTAATTTTATAAACCAGAATAACTCTGGGAAAATTATAATTATGTAATAAATTAATGAAATAAGTATTTAAACTTCCAAATTTCAAACTAGGTATTTTTTCTTTATCTAAAATTTCTTTTTTCATTTTACATACTAACCCTAGCCAGTTCCCCTCCTTTTCCTTCTCTCGCCTCACCATCTCCCCTCTTCCTACCTTCCCTCCCCATCCACTCCTTGGGGAGTCAACAATGTCTGGCATACCAAATTGAGGCAGGACCAAGGCCCTCCCCTGTATCAAGGCTGAACAAGGTATCCCACCATAGGGAGTGGGCTCCAAAAGGCCAATTTACGTACCCAGGATAGATTCTGGTCCCACTGCCAGGGTCCCCTCCACCAAAGATCAAGCAATTTAACTGTCACCCACATTCAGAAGGCCTAGTACAGTCCCATGCAGGTTATCTACAGTCCTTAATCTGTGAGTTCCCACTAGCTCAGGTCAGCTGTGTCTGTGGTTTTGAATAGTACTTCTGTGTGACTAGTTACTGACAATTTGACAAGAGTTTAAAAGAAAAAAAAAAAAAGCCTGGAATTGATTTTGTATATAGAAATTTGGCCTTAATGATTTTATTAGTACTTTTTAATCAGTGAGAATTTTTTGTTGATAAGGCTATTTGCTTTCCTCAACTTGTCTTAGCTAATACCAATATAATGGGTTTTTTTTTTTTTTTTTTTTTTTTTTTTTTTTTAAAGACAAGGTCTTATGTAGTTCAGGATATCTTGGAACTCATATAGCCAAGGCTGACCTTGAACTCTTGAACCTCCTGCCTCTACCACCTCCCAAGTTCTAGGATTACAGGCATACACCATCACACCGGGCTCTGCTGCAATACTCTTAACACTGTTTTCAGATTCAATTACTACAGAATCTAATATTCTCAGGAATGGAGAGAACAGTAGTCACAGGGATGCAGCTGGATAGGTGAAATAATTTCTAATGTCCCTACTTTATAGTTGACAAAATTAACTGAATAGCTTAAACTACTAACAGAGAACATTTTCACTGTTTACAACAAAAAGAGAGATTATATCTGACAGATATACCCATTATTCCAACCTGATCATTATGCATTACATATATGTATTAAAATATTATCCTGTACTCCATAAATACATATAGTATGTGTCAATTTAAAGAAAACATTTAAAAAATCTAAATGCTCTCCTATAATCTGAATCATAAATTCAACTCAGACTAAAATAAACAACTCTCTAGTTCAATCTATCAAAGTTCTTGGCCGAAACACCTCCAAACTAGTGTCTTATTCAACTCCATCTGTGTGGGAGGAGCTATGTGGTTGCTGTCCACTTTTGCCTAAATTGCTGTCTCAGAGTTTAATCACAGGTTACTCAAAACTGTGTCCTCCTACAGGCAACAGTCCATGCTATCCTTGTTCTTGCCCAAACAAAAAAGGCCACAGCTCTCCCTCTGACTTTCTAATAAAAACATTCCTTGACATGTTTCTTTATGTGTAAGTGTATGCATGTGTGTGTGTGTGCATGTATTCGCACATGCATGCTGGTAGCTGCAGAGTTCAGAAGGAGGCACCAGATACCCTAGAACTAGAATTGAGGCAGCTGTGAGCCAGCTGTATGGAGACTGGGAATTGGACTCTGGACTTGTGCAGAAGCAGCAAATGCTCTTAGCCACTGTACCATTGCTCCAGGCCCCAATGTTATTTTCAACTACATAGTTCATTACTTTCCCTCTGTTAACAAGTTCAGTTGACTTGTCTACACTATGCCCAAAGCTCCTATGTCTTTAACACTTGTTTTCTCCTTTTCATACAAAGGTGGCAAGCAGTATAAAGAACTTGAAATACCTGCACCTTCCTGCAACATATCAAGTTCCTAGCATAAGTGTTCAACACCACACTTTCCTACCAGGTACTCCTTGTGTTCTGCTCACTGATGGTGCAGTCTGGGAAATTCTGTGGATGTTTTCTCCCATATGCCTCTTTAAAGGCTAGACTATACTCATCGCTGCTTTCTCAGTGATTAAATTCAATACAAGTTCACAACAAACATTACATAAATGTTATTTGGAGGAATGAAGGCTGGGTAGAGGACAGAAGTTCTGAGTTTATGATCCTTGTTAATATGAGTACTTCCAGTACAATGCTTCAACAGTCAGTATTCATAAGCCTTGGTTACCAAAGCCTACCAAATCAAAACAATCTGGTTTGCTAGTATAAGCAAAACTAGTTTCTAACATTTTCCAGATATTCTAAATTTTAATACTAAAAATTTCAGTGAAAACTTATTTCAGTGATTTCATTATAAGGAAAAATATCATATTTAACAAAGTCACAAGAGCAAGTAAAATGAGCTGTTATTACTCACTTTAGATTTTTTTTTTTTTTTTTTTTTGAGATAAGGTTTTTCTGTGTAACAGTCCTGGAGCTCGATTTGTAGATCAGGCGGCTTCAAACTTACTGAGATCTGCCTCCTCTGTCTCCTGAGTGCTGGGATTAAAGGTGTGCAGTGCCACCTTTGACTAGTCATCTCCATAACAAGGCCTCAACACCTAAAAGTCATCCACCTTCCAGCTCTGGCCTGAAGAAACCAGGTCTACATGCTCAGTGTTTGTCAAGCTTACTGTACTAATTAGTTTCTGTCAACTTCACACAGACAGACATATCTGGGAAGAGGGACTCTCAATTAAGGGAAAGCCTCCATCATACTGTTCCACAGAAGAGTCTATAAGGCATCTTCTTGATTAATAATTAATGTGGGAAGATCCAGCCCACTGTAGGGATTGCCACTCTAGGACAGGTAGTCCTAGATTGTACATAAAAAGCATTCTGGGCAAGGTATAAGGAGCAAATCATTAAGAAGAATTCCTAAATAGTCTACTTCCATTTCTGTCACGAGTTCCAGCTCAGACTTCCTTCAGTGATGGGTATCAAGTATAAGATGAAATAAACCTTTTCTTCTTCAAAGTTGCTTTTGGTTCGTCTTATCACAACAACAGAGAAGCAAACTAGGACACCCACCACTCTGACACCTCCCAACAAATTCCAAATGGAACAGACTAGAGAACAAGAACAGAATCCAGGCTTGAACCTGTCCTTCTAGTTGGTTATACAAATATATGTCAAAGTATAAGAAAAAATACTAACACTTTAGCTTGTGACTTCAAATATTACAGAATGAGCTCCGTGCGGTGGCACATGCTGTTAGTCCCGGCATTCAGGAGGCAAAGGAAGGTGGATCTCTGTGAGTTCAAGGCTGGCCTGGTCTACATAGCAAGTTCCAGGCCAGCCAGGCCACACAGTAAGACCCTTCACCCTTCCTCAATCAATCAATCAATCAATCAATCAATCAATCAATCAATCAATCAAATTAAGGAATCTAGCTGGGCATTGGTGACTTAAGCCTTTAATTCCAGCACTCAGGAGGCAGAGGCAGGCGGATCTCTGTGAGTTTGAGGCCAGCCTGGTCTCCAGAGCGAGTGCCAGGATAGGCTCCAAAGTTATACAGAGAAACCCTGTCTGGAAAAAAAAAAAATTAAGGAATCTAGAGCTCATTTACCTTATCTTAGACCTCCATAATACACAAGACAGGCGGTATGAAAGATCTTAGTAATACCATCCATCCAACATACATTTCAAGGGCTAAAGTTTGTAAATGAGGAAGCTAAAGTCAGCATGGGTACATAGTGAGTGTAAGGACACACTCAGCTACATAGTGAGACCCTACATAATTAATTATGGTAATAATAATTTTGAGAAACAACAAAGAAGAATTCAAATCCACACCTGGAGGAGGGTTGATGTGTAAACCATTCTTTAGACTCCACTGCACAGGAAAAATGCCAGGACTGTTAGCATGGCATACAAATGATCGTCTTGTATGGTCTTCTGGTCGAAGGTCATCCATTTCTACCAGAAAGTACTTATCATCAAAAACCTGTGTAATTAACAGATAAAACTGACAAATGGATCTATGCATATTATACACATAATATATTAGATACACACACACACACACACACACACACACACACACACACACACACATATACACATACATATATATGCCCAAACATATATCTATCACAGATTTGTTTTCTTTAGCACAATCAAACATGTTACTTAAGTTTATTTATACTCACACTAGGTTATTAAAATAGTCAATAAATGTAAGTTCTATGTCATGTACTATTTTATTTTAGTTAAATATCTTTCACATATTTACTCAGTTTTACTCTTTGTAACTAATGAGGCAGGTACCATTTTCAATTACATTTTTTAGGTAAGAAAAATGAATTCAGAGAAAGGTAAAGTAATTTACCTTAGGTTACTCAGTCAAGAAACTGCAAACTTGAACTCAAACCAAGTATTTGAGTTCAAATCAAAATTTAGTTTAAAGGGGTCAACTACATTACTATACTAACTTCAAATGCCAAAATAAGAAGTTAAGAAATGTTGTCTGGGTCCTAAGCAGACCATTATCTCTTAGACTCCAGAGAAAATTGGTAGATCTTGGTCTCAGTCTTTGTCTCTCTTTCTCTGTGTGTGTATCTCACATGTGTGTCTATGTCTGTGTGTATATATGCCACATGCGTGGAGGTGCTGAGGAGGCCCTGAAACAGTAATTACAAGTGGTTATAAGCCACATGACTTGAGTGCTGGGAATTAAACTGGTCCTCTGTTAAAAGCTCTTAACCAGTGACTCATTTCTCTAGCTTCCAGAGAAGGTCTTAACGACTACTTACAGGATCAAAAATCTCTCAGTGCTCTGAGAATAATCTTGTACAAAGACAAAGAAAATGTAAATCTCATCAAGTCAGATAATTAAACATCCTAGTAATTATTCCCACAGTTATAATCCACCTTGAGCTCTATGTTCAGAAAATGGGCTTCTTCTCTAGTCCTAAAGCAAATGCTCTCTATTACACAGTAATTGCACCTTGAAAATATGTTCAGATCCTGTGGTTACTCTTAACAAGAGCCTTAATTTTGTCAGATGTTGGAGAGATTAAAACCTGATTCCAGAACACACAGCTGTATCTATCCTAGCGATGATGCTAATTCTGTGATCCCACATGTCTCCCTATGCCCCCAAACCCTTCCCCTGGTTAGATTAGTGGCAGCACTGCCTAGATTCATACTTTATGAACACCACCGTGGCCCAAATACTAGTCAAGTCCTTTCTAGTTATACAAAGGCAGGCTTGCCTCTGAAGAACATTCCCTTCTACTACTATGGTGCCCTGATTCTGCTCTGCTTCGGTCATACAGGACTACTAAGCTGTGAAGAAATGGCACACACAACAACAACAACAACAAAACTGGACAATACAACACAAATATACAGAAGAGATTCCGGCTTTACAATGAACTGTATTAGTATAGCCTAAAGATTAAACCACCAACTTCCTCAACTCGTCACCCTGATGGCAATTCTTTCCAGAAGAAAATTACTCTCATTTCACCTTAGCAATTGTAGCAGGAGAAATCCCAAAAGGAGACCATGGGTCCACAGCTTCCAATTTCATATTTACAGAAAATTCATGGGTTCCAATAAGCTGTTTATCCTGAAATGTATACAATAAAGAGTAAAAATATAGTGTTTTTGAATTATTGTACAGTCACACATAGCTGAATATTTGTGATGGTTAATCTTCACAGTCAACCAGACTGAATTTGGAATCATCTAGATGACATGCTTCTGGATTTATCTCTGCGGCATTTCCAGAGAGATTTAACCAAGGAGGAAGAACTGTACTCTGAATGTGGAGAATATTACCCTATGAACTATGGTCCTAGACTAACTAAAAAAGTAGCAAGTGAACTGAGCACCACACTCATTTCTGTTTGCTTGCTGACTGCATGTTTACTGTAACCAGGCATCTCAAGCTCCTGTTCCATGCCTCTCAGCCATGATGGTCTACATCCCTTCAAATAATGAGTCAAAATAAACCCTCATCCCTTAGGTAGCTTTTTGTCACAGATGTTTCATTACAGCAACAAGAAAGGAAATCTAGTTGGTTTAAATAAAATAAACTTCTGGTAATGCCTGTATTTCCTTCCCGGAAAAATCTAATCAGGACAAAAGCAACAACTCACATAAAACATTCCTCTCTACATTTGGAATACAATGGGCATCAAAAAGAAAAATCATATTTATTTCCTAACTAGTTTTAGGGTTATGTAGTTAAGACTGTAAGACACTCAGATGACTTTAAAAAATTTTTTTTGTCTGTTTTTGAGACATGGTTTCTCTGTGTAGCTTTTTGGAGCTTGTCCTGGAACTCACACTATACACCAGGCTGGCCTCAAATCCATAGAGATCCCCCTCTGCCTCTGCCTCCTGAGTCCTGGGATTAAAGACATGTGCTACCACCCAGCTTACATTCAGATAGATTTAAGAGGACTGCTGGAAAACAAGGGTGATCACTGTCCCTCCAGTTGACCCCCTCCTTCCCACACAGCACTCTTCTGTCTCCAATGATTAGTTTTCATTCTTCATCTCCCCTAATTGCTATTCTCTATTATAAAGAGAAAAATTGTATTTATCATGAGTTTCTATTTTTACCTTAAATAAGTAAGAGGGTAATGGCTCTTCTTCCTCCTCTTTTACTCTGGCCAGAATATCTTGCCAGTCAGCTTCATCTTTCAGATGCCTCATGGCTTTAGTGAAACAAAATAGCATGTTTTAAGAGGAGAAAACCTATAGATGTCTTTACTTTTCAAAGCATTCACCTAAACATAAGCACTTTCTACTATGGGTTAAGAAAAGATTCAGGCTTGCTTTCCTCCCCTACCCTCCCACCCCTCACCCCCCTCAACCCCTACCCCAGACAGGGTTCTCTGTGTAGCCCTGGCTGTCCTTGAAATTGCTCTGTAGACCAGGCTGGCCTCAAACTCAGATATCTGCCTGCCTCTGCCTCTTGAGTGCTGGGATTAAAAGCAGGAACTACTGCCTGGCTTTTTTGTTTGTTTGTTTGTTTTTCGAGTCAGGGTTTCTCTCGTAGGGTTCAGACCCACCTTCATACAAAAGAACTTGTACCCTAATCTTAGTACTGGACTCTATTTAAGAGACCAGAAAACTAAAGTTTGTTAAAATGCTTACAGTAAGAGTAGATGTAAAGCTGCAGCATAGAAAATAATGCAATAAATACCTAAACTGGGCTACACAGTAATAAATGCAAGAGAGGGTAAAATACTGGTTAGGGAAAGTCTGAGGTATAATCAGTAATGTCCGCTAAACTACAAATGTAATAACAAAATCAAAGAGAAATATACACTTAATGCAACTACTGTGTATAAGTACGAAATACTTTATATGTGAATTAAGAAATGTCTTCATAATATGTAGAATATGTTTTCAGCCTCACAAATACCAATAACAAAACAATAATACAAGTTTATAGGAAAGTGCTATGTTGCTCTTTACCTAATGGGGGCTGAAGTTCATATCCTTGCTGAGCAGCCCAACCAATGTGATGAAGAAATGGATCTAAGTAATACAACCAGTGGTCAAAACCATCAGAACTTTCAAGTCCTTCATAACGCAGCTTCAGCCGTCCCCCAATGTTCTCCACAACAGTAACAATCCAAGTGCTTAGAGAGTCCCGAAAAGCCTGGCATTCTAGTCTGGATCCAGGAGCAATAAGATCTAAAGGATTCCTTCCATTACGGAGCTATATGTCAAAAACATGAAATTGGAGGGGGTTAATGTTTCTTTTTAAAAATCAAGTTCTAAATTTTCTCAAACTAGTCTTCATATTATTTTACTCATCCCAAAAGAGTGGCATTAAATTACATTGTCTACAGATAGCCTTCCACAATATCACTTTTGAATGATATAAAAATGTTTACCATAAGGAAAACCTTATCTATAACACAATAAAATTATTTTAACAAATCTCTAAATTATTTTATTTAATATAATTTTAAAAATAAAATCTTGTCTGATTATGAAAGCAAATATGACCATCATTAAACAGAAAAATCAAACATGCCTACCCTCTTCTATAATCCTAAAGACCTAAAAAGATCACAGAGAATAGTCAGTATATACACTACACAGACAATAACTACCACTGCTTTTCTTTATTCTGTATTTTTCTCTTTTCAAAATATATGTTTTTTTCACTTATTAAATCATGGATCTCTTTTTATTAGAGAAGATGCCAGCTTCCCCTGCCTTTTAAAGTGTTCTTAGTAGTTTTCATTTAAGTGATGCGATGTTACTTGTTTCTGATTTTTTTTTACCCATTCCACATGTTCTTATGAACACAGTAAGAACTTTTGGTTACAGTGATAGGAAGGAACAATTTAACTATCTAGATTTTTTTACTAAAAAATATTAGAGACTTCATGCCAGTGAAGACCATGTACAGCTTTTGTAGAGGACATGAGTCTGGTTCCCAGTACCCATGTCAAGTGGCTCAAAACTCCAACTACAGAGGATCTGACAAACGCTCTCCTGGCATCAACAGGCACTCATACTCATTTGTACAACCCATACAAACATACACAAATATATATCACTAAAAATAAAATTATAAGCTGGGCGTGGTGGTATACATCTTTACTACTAGAATTCAGGAAGCAGACGCAGGCAGATTTTTTTTTATGAGTTCAAGGTCAGTCTGGACTACATAGGGAATATGAGGTTAGCTAGGGCTACAGAATGACTGACTGACTGGCCTGCCCTCACTCCCTCCCTCTCCCTGTCTCTCCCTCTCTCTCTCTCTCTCTCTATTTCTCTCAAATACCCCCCCAACACACACCATGAAAATTAAAAGAGGTGGGCAGTGGTGGCACACCTTTAATTCCAGCACAAAGAAGGCAGAGGCAGGCAGATCTCCTGAGGTCGAGGCCAGTCTGGCCTACAAGAGTGAGTTACAGGAGAGCCAGGGCTACACAGAGAAACCCTGTCTTGAAAATAACAACAACAATAAACAAATTTTACTACGTAGATATATATTTAAAACTACAATAAAGAATAGGGGGGTCTAGAGAGATGGCTGGGGTTAAGATCACTGGCTACTCTTCCAGAGGACTGGTTCAATTCCCAGCACCTAGGTGGCAGCTCAAAGCCATCAGGGAATCCAATACCTTTTACACAGACATACATTCAGTCAAAACACCAACACACATTAAAACTAAATAGATAAAGCCAGGCATGTTGACACACTTCTTTAATCCCAGCACTTGGGAAGCAGAGACAGGTGGATAGAAGGAAGGAAGGAAGAATCCAGGGAGTTGGATTCCCAGCTGCAGCATCACGTCTACTCTTACTGTAGACATTTTAACAAACTTTAAATTTCTGGTCTCTTAAATAGAGTACAGTACTAAGATTAGGGTACAAGTTCTTTTGTATGGAGGTGGGCCTGAACCCCACCCCATGCCCTAAAAAAAAAAAAAAAAAAGCCAGACATCGGGGTGCCTGCCTTTAATCCCAGCTGGGTGTGGAGGAAAGTACTATAATCCCAGCACATGGGAGACAGAGCTAGGAGGATCCTGAAAGACTTACTTGGCTAGTTAGCCTAGCCAAATAAATGGTGAAGTCCAGGACAAGTGAGAAACTTTGTCTCAAAAAGTGGAGAGCAATTGTTGAAGACACCCAATGTCAACCTCTGACCTGCACATGCACTCCACACAAACATACAAACATGTACACACACAAATAGAACAGAAACTGGAGGAAACTTAATTCATTCAAGTCTCAGAATATTAGGAGTGGGGATGGAGTTAAACAACAAAAGCATTAGTGAGCTCATCCCAAAGTCATCACTCAACCCTGCCTCCAACCTCCATAGTCTTGGTTGTCCTGGAACTCATTATGTACATTAGGCTGGCCTCAAACTCAAGAGATTTGCCTGTCTGAGTGCTGGAATCAAAGATATGAGACACCACTCCCAGGATACTTAACTATTCTTAACATTCACTGTAACATTTTTTCCTAGTATAAACTGCTTTGTGAAGCTTTCATATTTAGGTGTATAAAAGAACAAGTAAACAATTGGAGGATTACATTAATAGTTACAAGTTTTTTGTTTAAGATTTATTTATTTATTACATATACAGTGTTCTGCCTATGCATCAGAAGAGGGCACCAGATTGAATTGCAGATGGTTGTGAGCCACCATGCAGTTGCTGGGAATTGAACTCAGGACCCCTGGAAGAACAGTCAGTGCTCTTAACCTCTGAGCCATCTCTCTAGCCCAATAGATACAAGTTTTAAGATGGCAGAATCATGATCAATGCAGGCAGGATATTTTATCTGCTCATTGTTCACAACCTCATCCATCCATCCATCCATCCATCCATCCATCCATCCATCCATCCGTCCATCCATCCATCCACCTATACATCCATCCATCTATACATCCATCCATCTATACATCCATCCATCCATCCAAATTTTACCAAGTGTTCAAGATGTGCCAGACCATGGGTAAGAATAAAAAAAAATTAATCTAAGTACAAAGAAAATTTAAAGTTGTTTGAAACAGTGTTCAAAAATGGGCATGGAAGGATCTATCAGTAGAAATTTAAAAGGCTTCAGAAGCTTCTCAGATACTCAGCAAGCCAAAAAAGTACAACTTCTAATATTAAATTTAAATGCTCCAATACTTATGCTTATGACTAATAACAATGTTTCTTTTTCCTTTAAGCAGTAAATTAGCAATCAATTTTGGAACACTTGCAAAGGTTTTCCATACTGGTTTAAGAAGCCATGATACTCACGCCTTCTAGCAGAGACACAGGAGGACCACAGGCTCCCCTCAGGGACTGCTGTAGAAACGCACCCCAATCAGACACCTTATCTCTGATGCCTAAACAAAGGAAAAAATAATTATTATTCACATCAGTCATAGAACACAAAGAAATGTGAAATACAGAAATGGCTTAAGGGTATGTTTGTCACTTAAAAATCAGTGTATTGCTTCTTTGAGAACTTGGAAAGAGAAAACAAAAATAGCTACAAAACTTCCCTATTCTGCACTGAGCCATGTGCTGGTTAGTTTTTGTCACCTTGATACAAGCTAGGGTCATCTGGGAAGAAACCACAATTGAGAAAATGCTTCCATTACACTGCTTTGGCTTCGCACAATGGACTATAGCCAGAGATACAATATGTACACCAAATAAACCCTTTCCTGCTCAAATTGCTTTTGGCCATGGTCCTTATCATAGCAATAGAAACCAAATTTAGACAGCTGGTTAGCACAATAAGAACTGTATGTAAAACAGACTATGAGTTGTATACAAAATAATTCCCTTAAGGTCGAGGCAGGCAGATTTCTATGTGCTCAAAGCCAACCTGATCTACACAGCAAGTTCCAGAACAGCCAGGGCTACACAGTGAGACCCTGTCTCAAAAACCAAAAACAAACAACAAAAAACACACACAGAAAAAGTTATAAAGAATATTCATGTACCCTAGCTTCAACAACTGTCACCTCATGCCAATATGTTTTATCTGGAGCAAGAGTTAGCAAACTGCCACTTGTGGGCTAAGTCAGACCTGCTTTTTGTACATAAAACTTTATTGGTACACAGCCATGCTGATTGTTGATGTTTTATCAGTGGCAGCCAGACTTCAAACTGCAAGGGTAGAGTGCAGCAGCTGTGACAGAGACCTATGAGTGACAGAGCTAAAGCATTCACTATCTGGCACTGAGCAGATCATTTGCCAATCTGTCAGGCCCATACCCTCACAAATTCTACTGCCACCCAATCAAGAATTACTTAGAAGCCAATTTTAAACATCATATAATTTCATCCACATATATTTCACTAAATATTCATAAAATAACTTTAAAATTTCTTATACAGTGAGCAGTTGCCTCAATGCATGTCTATGCACCACAAACATAGATACTAAAAGTGGGTGTCAGATCCCCTGGGACAGGAGTTACAAACTTGCAAACTGCCATGTGGATGCTGGGAATTGAACCTGTGTCCAAAGAAGAAGAGCTGCCAGTGCTTTTCTTAACCGTTGAGCCAACTCTCTAGCCCCAAAATAACTTTTGGCAAAACCAAAACATCACATATTTAACAACTTAGTATTCCTTCAAAAGCAAATGTCTAGTCTACATACAAACTTCCTCAATTACATAAAAAATTATTTTTAACTTATTTGATCTCATTGAGAACCATTTTATGAACCATACACTGCAAACAACTTATTATCGACATTCCTTTGGTCTGTTGGTTCAGTCTTCTCTTTCCCTTCCATCAACTTTCTTGTAGTACACTTATTGAGACACACAGCCTCTTATCTTATATAGTGTTTCAGAATCTTTTTCATTGGCTGCTTCCTTGAGGTGACCAGTTGTCCCACTACCTCCATGGTTTTTGTTGTTGTTTGTTTCTCTTGTCATGCTGTGTGTGTGTGTGTGTGTGTGTGTGTGTGTAAGAGAGAGAGAGAGAGAGAGAGAGAGAGAGAGAGTAGGGACAAATCCAGGGCCTGTACTTGCATACCAGGCAAGTATACTTCCACTAAGTTATAACACCAGCCCTGCTCCTTCTATTTTCTACAAATAAAGATTTAGAGCCAGAGCTTGATAAAGCTCAGGTTTGATTTTTCTGGAGAAAAAAAAGAGTAAAAATAGTTCACAAATGGAATTATATCCTTCCATATAGACACACATAAGGCTTAATTGTCTGCCACTCTGTGTCTTAGTTGGGGTTTCTATTGCACTGATGAAACACCACGACCATACAAGTTGGGGATGGGGGGGGGGGTTATTCAGCTTACACTTCCACATCAATGTTCACCACTGAAGGAAGTCAGGACAGGAACCCAAAAGGGCAGGAACCTGGAGGCAGGAACTGATGCAGAGGCCATGGAGGGTGCTGCTTACTGGCTTGCTCCCCATGGCTTGCCCTGCCTGATTTCTTATAGAACCCATGATCACCAACCCAGGGATGCCACCACGCACCACAGGCTGCACCCCTGCCACCCACTGATCACTAATTAAGAAAATGCCTTACAGCTGGACCTCATGGAAGCATTTCCTCAACTGAGGCTCCTTCCTGCCTGACTCTAGCTTATGTCAAGCTGACACTCAAAACCAGTCAGTACATTCTGTAGCATTAATAGCTTTGTTAAAAATTGTATGTCCTGGATGTCAACAAGGAGGCCTCTGCACTCCAGGGAGCCTCTGGTGGTGGATTAGTATTTTTCCCTGGTGCAAGAAGGAACTTGGAGAGCCCATCCCATGTGAAGGATTACACTCTGGTCCTGGACACATGGGGAAGGGCCCAGGACCAGCACAGGAAGATTTGGTAAACTTTGCAGAGCCCCCGTTGAGGGCCCTACCCTGCCTGGGGAGTGGTGGGTGGATGGGGTGGGGGCTAGGCTGGGGGTGGGAGAGGAGGTATGGGGGTGAGGGGAGGGAGAGGGAGAAGGGACTTACATGTGAAACAAGCTTGTTCCCTAACTAGAACTAATAAATAAATTTAAAAAAAAAATTGTATGTGCATGGCTGGGCAAGCCTTTAATCCCAGCACTTGGGAGGCAGAGGCAGGCAGATGGTATGAGAGTTCGAGACCAGCCTGGTCTACAAAGAGCTAGTTCCAGGAAAGCCTCCAAGGCCACAGAGAAACCCTGTCTCGGGAAACCCGCCCCCCCCCAAAAAAAATTGTATGTGCATGCATGTGTGCTGTGTGTATATGATATAACTGTGAGCACTCCTGTGAACACACATAGGAGGCCAATAGAGAATGCCAGGCATCCTGCTATATCATTTTTCAACTTATTCCACTAAGGTAACTTGTATTCTCTTTGTTCTATATACAACTCTTATTAAATTAACCAGAGAGAAATGTCTTACTTTGGTTTGAGGCCAGCCTGGTCTACCATGTGGGTACTAGGAATCAAACTCATGTTCTCTGCAGAAACAAGCACTCTAACTACTAAACCACTGAGCCACCTCTTCAGCTTCTTTTCCCTTTTAAAATTTTATTTTATTTTGGTCTTTTGTATCTCCCTCCAATTTAATTGATAGCCTACTCTAACTAGGTACCTTCCTGGAACAGAGCTTCAGTTAGCTCATTTTAAAAATTGATAGAGACATGTATCTATAATCCCAGCATTTGGAGGGCTGAGGCAATGAGGCTTGCCAAGTTTGAGGTTAGCCTGTGCTATAAAGAACCTGACTAAGAGGGGAAAAAAAGTTTGTGATATAATTTATAAGGTTACTTATAAATAAAGGAGAGAGAAAAAGAAAAACAGAACTTGGGAATGGTGTCACAGGCCTGAAACCTCAGTTATGTGAGAAGGTTAAGGCAGGAGTTTTCAAGCTCGAGGGGCCCCTAAACTAACGAGTTATACCCTGTCTCCACAAAAAAAGGTGGTGGGGGGTTGAGTACATCAGTTTGGACTGCAATCAGGTCAGGGATAGTGGTTTATGCCGGTGATCTTTGTTCTCATGATGAGTTTGAGGCTAATCTGAGCCACACTGTGAGCTGTTGTCTAAAAAACAAGGACTAGGATCCACCTGGGAAGAAGCCCTCTTTAATCACATGCATAAATCCCTAGGTTCAATCTACATTACAAAAAAGAAAGCAAAACAAAAAACAATAATCAGATCTTCAAGTCCCAAACTCAGACAGCCTCAGTCTGTAAGGATGAGAAACCATGGTCTTAATGGCCATCAAAAAACTGAAAGGTTTATAGAGGGGAAAAAAATTAATAGAGAAATACAGGACCAGAGGCTCGTTTGTATTGAACAGTGCTTGCTGAGAACACACAAAGCACTGTGTTTGAGCCCCCAACACTGCATAAATGAGGCCTGGTAGCAAATGCTTGGAATGCCAACATTGACAAGGTAGTGTAAGGAGGATCAGAGTTCAAGGTCATCCATGGCAACATAGCAAATTGAAGGCAAACTAAAGCTACCTACATAAGACAATGTCTCAGAAATAAATAATAAAACAGAGGCTGGAGAGATGGCTCAGCAGCTCTCTCTCAGAAGACCCAGATTCAATTCCCAGCACCCACATGGCTGTTCACAACCAGTATCTCCAATCCCAGGGGATCTGAACCCCTTTTCTGGCCTTCTCTGATTACAGTAGAACAAGGGTCCTGATTTCACTCAGATGAACCAGCCTCTGCGGAAGCCTCAGTCACAGGAGGATCCAGAAAGACTAGGCCTTGGGTCATAACCCTCAACAGAGCACAGACACACTGGTCAGTGGGGAACCATGAAAGTTGTGGTCAAATGAAAAACTGGTAACACATGCCTATAAAGCCCAGCTACTCAGGAAGGAGAGGCAGGAAGTTGAAGGCCAGCCTGGGCTACAAAGTGAATGAAAGCATAGCTTAGCTATCTCTTGTCTCAAGACAAAAAACAAAAACAAAACAAACATTAATTGGGGGGTAGGGGGAGCTGGAAAGATGGCTCAGCAGTTAAGAGCACTGGCTGGCTGGGCGTTGGCGGAACACACCTTTAATCCCAGCACTCGGGAGGCAGAGACAGGTGGATCTCTGTGAGTTCGAGGCCAGCCTGGTCTACAAGAGCTAGTTCCAGG